GGGGGGGGGGAGTTGGTAATCATACAAAGGGGAACGGTGGTAATTATACTGGTTTTTTTTTTAGAGATGTGGCCTACAATAATCTGCCCCAAATACCTTATTCGGGCAAAATCATCATCAGTCGGCCACACTCCAGCTGGCAATTCCGCAAGAGCCTTCTGCTCTTCCTCTCTGCTCATTTCTTCTTTTAGCAGGTATTTGAGAAGCTTTTTTTTATCATGCTTTGAAGCATAACATGCTAGCAGCATGGCTGCAGCCTCGCAGAAATGACCCTGTAGTGCTTGCACAATGCAGTCTTTGAGGTGTAAGGAGTATCTCCCACCTGAGATTATCAAAGAGCAAATGGCATCTAGGTGACCTCCTCTTGATGCCTCAAGGACAGCCTCCTTGAAGCAGGATTGTAACACATCCCGAGGAGAAATTAATGTCAGTAATGCACGCAAGTTGGGACTATTCTCTCTGGCCGCTTTCTTGACCTCTGTGGAGAGAAAAACAGACAATTCTTTTAGGAAAGAAAAGAATCAACCCTTATTAAGAACATATCTTTAAGGAGACTAAAAAAAAAAATGAATAAAAAATTAAACCTGAATCACATTATTTCGCTCATGAAATTACAATGAGGAACAAATCTCAAAAGTTAATCTCAGCAGGAAAATCTTTTCCTTCCCAATTCAAAATCACAAAGCTGAGTCTCCCTACTATTAGCTCTATTTTGTTCCTACGGCTAGTTTTTTCGAATTTGGTGCGATACCTCCAAGTACTGTAGTTGATTATTTTTTTTTTTATTCTGACTACCTCCTGCCCTGACAGCATTTTAAAATGGAAAGGAGAAATAACACAGTAAATATAAAAAACGCATATTTAGGTTTGATTCTAATGGACCATCCTCTTCATTGAGTATTAAAATTAAGAGGATGACGTTTTGATGATGATTCTTGGATTTCCAAAGAGTTAATAAATCAGATTTAAGAATGCTTTGGTGTGTCCCCATGGACAAGTCTTTTAAGACCCCTGAAATATGAGCTAGTGGAACTTTCTCTCTCTAATTTCACTAACCTTCAGTTTTGAGGAGGCGAGCTGTTTTCTTGCAATTATTAATCACAGCAGTTTCATATGGTGTTTTTTCAAACTCATCCTTGCTAGTAATATCAGCATTATACTTCAAAAGTTCTTCAACACAGTCGAGTTTATCCATTGATGCTGCAATGTGAAGAGGTGTATAAAATCCATTGGCTCTTGCATTTGGGTTGGCACCAAACAGAAGTAACAATCTAACCACACTGGTCTGTCCCAAGTTAGTTGCCTCGTGAAGTGGAGTGTATCCTAGGAAACCCAGACGCTCATCCAATTTGCTGACATCTGATATTTCTCGAAGCAATAAGCGGATTTCAGTTACATTACCCTCGCGACACAACTTGTGCAGCTGGCCAGCTGTTGAAGTAGTACTTGATGAGGACATGGCCTTTGTCTTAAAAAAAGAGTTACTTCAATTCATTTGTTTTTTAGTTTATCACAATCGATTTTAAGCCCTTCACTTTAATATTGAAGTGAAGTGAAGTGAATGCTTAATTACTAAGCCAACTATAATTGACTGAGTATTTGGCTTTAAATGTTACATCATTTTTTAATTAACAATTATGTAATTCTTATAATTATGCTAATCTGAGATCAACTGGCTGGTGATCTAACGATCCATAAACAAAACATCTCACCATAAATGCGAATGCTATCAATGAAAACAATTTTTCTTTAATTGCAATTATATTGAAAAATTAAAAAAAATTAAATAGAAGAAACGGCCATAAAATTGCTTCACAGGAGCAACTTCAGAATACCCGGCCACCTCATTTACAAGTGTCGAGAGGCTTTGAAGAACGACGCATAACACAAGCGACGTTATTCTTATTCAATGACATGCAAATGGTGATCTGGTACTCGGTAGTTTAGCCGACTCGCACACCATCCAAAGTTAGATTCAAGTAGCAACGATAGAATCCACGATCTGTCTGAGGTTCACTTCATCAGCATGCTTTGAACAGCTTAAAAATAAAACTATAAGTAAATTTTCTCACTAAATTGATTGCGATTCAATAAGAGATAGAAAATTCGAGGCACTTTCTGAGCTGTACTTGAATCGACTGAAAAGATAATTTCAGTGATGAACTTCCGGCAAGCGTTTACCTTCGCCGGTCTTCGCTGACTTCCAGATTTGGGACGAATATCACTTGAAAGTGACCTCAGCCTTCTGAAGGAAAGAATTTATTTCCCATCCTGAGGCACAAATATACTAGAAGTTAAACACGCCATCCAAAAATGTGGACTTCACTCCACATAATAACCCACGTCGAGGTCGTCAAACGACGTCATTCGTGAAACAAAATTTATGCTCAGATGAAACAACTGCAATATAAATTGAATGCGAACCACGAAAAACTGACAGTTTTACTGACCTATAAAGAAGACCAAGTAAGCCCATGAAAGACTCTTGAGATGTCTTCAAGCGAGGAAACGGAAAGCAAGGTAATACGTTCTCTTCCAGATCGTTTGATCACATGATCGACTTCAGCGGAAGTTGGCACCTTGCAAAGCCGGAACCTGGAACCCAGTTTTGTTTCAAGATATTTTTTTACAAACGTCTTTTCCTGCGTCATTATTTCTTCCCCATTTCACTTACGTCTTCAAATTCAGTCTCTGTCTGTCATGATGGATGGATCAAAAACCACGGCTAAATCTTAAGGGAAGTTGATAGATTCCCAGCTTCTACATGTTGACCACCATAAATAGGAAATTCTTTCCCTCAAATATATGAATTCGTGAGGGGAAAACGTTGTATTTAGAAACTAAGGTAAGAAAAATGGAGGGAATTTGAATGAAATATGGGATACCGCGCTTGAGTAGTTCCAGTGTTTCTTTATTGGGTCGGTTTTCAATTCTTCACTGCAATATCAGAAGTCTTTCTAAAAACCTAAATTTATTGGAAGAACTATTATACTCCATTGATACCAAAGTGGATGTTCTTGGAATTAAAGAAACCAAATTGGGTTGGAATTCTATTAGTAATGTAAATATCGTGCATAACAATAATAACAATAAAAGTTTAATGTCTTTACTTGGGGCATGGTTACCCATATTGCCTGAGTCAGAGGCTGGTATGAAACGCAAGACAACAACCAACCCATCCCATCCCACCCCAGGGTAAGACCATCCATGACACAGTAATCTCGTGCGTGGGAAATCAACGCTTCCTATCCCTAACCTTGCAGGAGACGGGACCTCCATTTATTTGTCCCTATCCGAGAAGACTTTTAAACACTTTTGGTGTTGGTCCGGCCGGGGCTCGAACCCTCGACCTCCCGCACATCAGTCCAGCGCTCTCAGCATTGAGCTAACCTGGAGGCGGTTAATTGATGTTAAACACTGCATCTGGACTAAAATAAGAAGGAGGAGGGCTCTGTCTTGTCTTGTAACAGGAATAACAGTGATAGTAAAGCAAGCCCAAAACAGCAGAAATCGCCCAAAACCACGACGGACATAAAAGGAGTGAGTAAGTTTTATTAATCTTACGTGTCAAATTTTCATATTTCGGAATATCAAGGGCTATAAATCGACAATATTTCGTTCGCTATACTATCCTGATCCTTCCATATAACGCGTTCAAATTCTCCACGGTTCCTTGCCAAACTTAATACCGCGTCACAGAACGCTTGAAGCTTTCATGAAATAGTATTTCGTTTTTTCTCGACACATGAGCTTGGGACGCCTGTGTTGAAAAGGACCCTTTTATTTCTTCTGCTGCGTGATGGCAATTTAGAACAGATGTACCTGCTTATGGAACGTGCGTTACCTGTAGTGTAATAAAGCGATACATAATTGGTATGCTCAGAGGAGATCATCATAATAACTAAGAACTGCAGATAGAAGGATATTGGTCAATTTCACCCGGAAGTTTGAAATTTCTGCGAAAATTCGAAAACAATCAATGGAGGGAATTATACTTCCACATCACGTGCATTTAACGCGATTACTAAGAACTGCAGGTAAAAGATTATTGGTCGATTTCACCCGGAAGTTTCAAGTTTCTGCGAAAAGTCGAAAACAGTTAATAAAGCCTTACTCCTGCCACTCCTAGTAGACATTGCAAGAAAACTTCGGGATATCTGCTCCACTCCAACACAGGGAAAGCTAACAGCCATGAATCTTCAATATTTCCTGTGGCTTTTCTCGATATTCATAGTTCAGCAGACTAGAGGTCAGTTCGAACCGGCGCAGCATTGCGATCCTAACAAATGCCTACCTCCAGACTGCCGATGCAGCGAAGATCGCAGTCCTCCGGGAGGATTGCCTCCTGAGAAAACACCGCAAATTATCATGGTCACTTTCGATGATGATTTCGAAAAACGATCTTTCGACTTATACAATGAACTCTTCGACGAACTACGTAATCCTAACAACTGCTCTGCTATGGGAACCTTGTTCATTTGTCAAAACTACACGGATTATTTCTTAGTGGAAACTGCATATTCCATGGGGTACGAGATTGCCGATCACACCGTAACACATCAGGAGCCCACCACGTACTGGGAACGAGCAAATTTCACGGAATGGAAGAACGAAATTGATGGAGAAAAAGAGATTTTGCATCGGTGAGTGAAGTTGAGCAACTTTCTCGTGTCACACACGCTTCCCCGCTAATACCCAGGGTAAGGCAGGCCCACGCGGGATTTTCCACTTTCTTACCGTTCATTTCACATGGCAGAATCGCCTTTACTCGCCCTAGATCTTGTCGAGTTCTGCCATAATCTTTGGACTGGCAAATACACAAACACTTCTTTTTCCCGAAAAATTTGCATGAATATTGAGTGACATCTAAATGCTAATATGCCCGAGCAGAAACCCAGCAGAAATCTGCGCAATTTACTCATGATCCCGGTCAAATTAGCTCTTTAATATCTCTGATCTTCGCTGAAGCAAAATTGTTTTATTTCTCGGCTGATTTCTCTGGCCAAAATATATAAATTTCTCCGCGCATAGTTTCGCGTAAAAACATCACAATTATTTATGTCTGTTATCAATTACGTGTAATGACAAGACTGTTTTTTTTTTTTTTTCCGTCAAGGATGCTCCGTATCATAACATATTCGATATGATCCGAAGATGCGAATTTACAGCTACAACTACTTAAAATATATAATTGTCCCATTCGTTGTTTCTTTTTTTGTGTCTGGTTGTATTTTCGTTATAATTTATGACGGGAAACGAGAACTTTCTTGACCGATTTTACACGTACCTTTAGAGAGTTGTGAGTACTTGATCTGTCCTATAGCTTTTAGAAAAAAAGCATCCCTTTGACCGCATCCGATCTCCTTCTCAAGGACCTCTACTCAACACGCACAAATCACAAAGTACTTAGAGAGTAGGGGACCGGTAATTATTTATCACCTTGGTGGGGGAGGGGGGGTGAAGAGGTTTCGGAAGAACTTGTGGGAGGGGTCGGAGGAATTTGATTGCGCAATCAAACGATAAAATTTACCTGACCCCCGATGAGGTTCTGTAATATTTTTATGACTCCCCCCTCATTCACAGTTAATTGGCAGCAAAGCAATATTCTCTTATTGGCAGCCAATGGTCTTTAGTCCCCCCTTAAGACCCTGTTGGCGACGACTGATCCTCAACGTTCCCCCTGATTCACTCAACTTCTTCCGCCTCACCCCTCCCCCTTCCTTCCCAGGCAATAAATAACGACTGGTCACTTACAAAGTTACGTCATCCCGCAGATTTGCCAACATACCTTACGATGAAGTTATTGGATTTCGAGCACCGTTCCTGATGTTTACAGAAAACATGTTCAAGGCATTGTACACGAGTAAATTTGGTAAATTCACTTATGACCTTTCTTGGCCAGCAAACGTCATATTTGATGGAAAGGGTCCCATGTACCCCTATACTTTGGACTACTTGTCAAGTCAGACCTGTCCCACTATTGATGAACCGTGTCCCAAGTTGTCCTACCCAGGACTGTGGGAGGTGCCTAACGTCAACCTTATGAACAAAGACCACTCGACATGTGCATCAATGATGGATGGTTGCGATCCTTCTGGAAATTACACAGTCTGGTTAGAGATTTTGACGAGAAACTTCCATTACCACTACGACACAAACAGAGCACCCTTTGGAATGCACATGCACCCAACGTTTTTCCTTACAACACCCGATCACATGAAAGCAGCTAAACAATTTCTCAAATATGCTCTGGATTTAGAAGATGTTTGGATCTTAACGCCGTCTCAGATCGTTGCTTGGATGAAAGATCCCCAAGATGTTGAACAGGCGAAGACTTTCGCGCCCTGGCAGTGTCCGAGCCGCCCAAAGCCACGCTGTACTGAGGAAACAGCCCATAATTGTCATTACACTGAGCCTGGAGATTTCTACATGCGCACGTGCACTCCGTGTCCGCCCCATTTCCCATCGCCTACTGATCCAGATGGCAATTAACTCTTTAAGTCCCATGATCTGATTGATAATTCTCTGTTTTAGCTGCAATAAATCTATCGTAAATTTATTGATAAAATTCTTTATTAGATTAAAAAATGTCTGAGGCATTTCTCATAACCTACTGATCCAGATGAATGGCAATTTTTGTATGAATTTGCAGTTGCAATTGATTGTCAATGGTCTAGAGCAATCGGTATCTCCCACTGAAGTTAATACGAACTCACTGGAATGTTCAGATAAAAAGTGTAGTTATTGAATAAGAAATAAAGGATGAAAATACAGCCGGCTTCTCTCTAATCCCTTCTTGGATGCTGTACTAGTTGGACAGAACATCTCACAACAGAAATTTTGGCTGATTTTGTTTTTGAGCTGGCCGGCTGGATTAATTTAGTTATTCACGAACTAAACTGGAAAGGACTGACTCTTCATAGTATTAAATTGATAAACTAGATACTGAATGAAGGCTTAAAAAAACATGAACCGGTGTCCTCTACCTAAAGATAAACAATATTTTCAGTTTCAGTGCTTCGTTTGCATGATTTAATTTATGAGACTAGCCAGATTATTGGAATGAAGTTTTCTTACAGGATGGGCATTTTAAATGTTTGGTACCACAGAGTACATTCCATTCCTATAAAACCATAAGTTGTAACCAAGGGGGAGTAAGGGGTGGAACCTCTGTATCACTGGGGCAGTATAGTAACCTTGTTCCCAGATCCTGCCGTGTAACTGAAATGTAGGCTTGGCCGTGGAAGGTCCGGGTACGAGACCAGCCACAATGTCTTGGTTGGAAAAATCCAGCCATGCAGTTTTAAAAAATTTGATTAACGGACAGATTTGGGATATACGGTCACCGTTGGCTGCACTGAAGGTTTAAGATGCAGGTTTTCCCAGCTTGTAGATTGATGGACCAGGCCAGAGACGTAACCCAGTTTAAGATGTCGCTTCACCGACATACAGACAATAAAAGTGTGAAATGTTCAGCAGGCAACCGTGGACGATACTCCTACTCTTGTACGTTGGATCAGCGATGATCTAATCGGTCCGAAATAACGAATATGAAATATAAATATAGAGGCAAGACCGATACAACGTTGATAAGTAAATTTTAAGAAGGAGCACTATATTTCGGCTGGCCAAATCAGCCTTCTTCAGGAGCAGTGGTTAATTCCCACTGCACCTGAAGAAGGCTGGTTTGGCCAGCAGAAAAACAGTGCTCTGTCTTAAAATTTACTTATCTACGTTGTATCTCTTCCCTCTATATTTGTATTTAATAAAAGTGTAACCCCCCTTGCCCTCCTAAATGATGACAAAATAAAAATATTAGACTGCTGCTGCCAAGGGCGACAGAAAATAGTAGCGCTTACGTTGTACCCAGATTCTATTGTTCATTTGTTTTCCCCCGACTGGCCATATGCATGAAAGGTATGGCCACGAGACTGTAATAGCGCCAAAGATACCTAAAGGGCTCATAAAGTGTTTCTAGACGACATGAAGGGAAATTTATTTGAGTTGGGTCTCTATAATGACTCGATCGTGACTAACCAAAATTTTCCTTGCCATGGAACGAAAACAAGCCCCTGTTGCATTAAGGCGAAAGGAAAAGCAAGGATAAATGAAAATTTCGTTTTCTTTCCTGTTAGGTTTCCGTGCATGCGCTTGGTGTGACCTCTCACTGAGTTCTCGCGCGACTGAAACGGATCAGGCTTGGAAAAATGTGCGAGCCTGGGAACTATGACGAATGACGCAAACGCAAAACGCTCTCATACTTCGGAGCAAAGTCGAGGAAACTATCTTGCTGAGAGAGATGGCGCAGTGTTTCGTGAAAACATCAGCTTTTATTTTGTTGGTCCTAGTCCATTTTTGCCATGGGACAGACCCTCAGCCCCAACAGATTCACATCTCAGCGACAGGTAAGGAAAACATCTCAGAAACTATACGACTAATCGGGAAGAACACAAACTGAGATGTAATCACCTGACCATGTATTAACGAAGGCTAGGGCTGACATTGGGGAAAGTCGTCTCTTCACAATTTACAATAGCGTCTATCTAATTTTATGAACTTCTGGTGAAAATCTCATCCAACAATTCTTCGTTAATTTCAAGTTCGATTCGGGATTTGTAGTATGGCGCGCAGTCACATGACTTCCCAAATCTCTTCATAAACTTTCTTTCCCTTCAAGCAAGGCTAATTTCAGCCAAGACGAAAGGACTTTTTCTCTATTAACCTCAATTTGAGCATAATTTCGATTCTCGAGAATTCCAAATAGATCGCATGAGCATACAGCATTACGAACCGCTTTTCTTATGTTTCCACTATATTCGTAGAAATTATATAAACACGGTCCTTCACGGTTCCTTTCGCTTTGCTATTTTTTCTTTGCCTTATTCTTGGAGCAGATCGTAAGCCTTAACAGCTTTAAATTTGGGCTTCGGCGAAGCGAAGTGAAATGTCTCTGGCGCCCCAACATCGTGAAAAATTCGCTCAAGCCAGTGCATGAATTTCAATTTTTGTTGTCAAGCCCGCTCAGCGGAAAGGTTACGTAAGCAAAAACCTTATTCGTCCTAAGCAAAAACCGCCATACCTATCAAATCGCCACTAGAATACTATTAACGTATTAAATTATAACAAATTTATAATGTTTATCAATCCAAAGATCTTTCAATGACACAGTTACGCACAGCTTTCGTGGAAAAAGTCACTTGAAACAGCTACATGACAGTGATCATGCATGAACACAGCTGTTGTTTATATTGAAGTCACGAAAAACGGCTTCATGACGGTGCAGTGTACATGGATACAGCTCATGTCTATAATTGAAAAAGGAAACTTGTTCAAAGTGATTATGTCATAAAGATTGTAAATGGATTTTATTGTAAGCAGTTTCCGACCTTTTTTGGTATCTTCTTTAATAGTATCAAAATTAAAGCCAAACTCACAGTTATGTCTAATTCTGCTGCTTCCTTCACGGCTTTTAACTGGTCTTGTTATGCAATACACCCACTTCTCTAATATATTAAGGGCCACTTCCAGTTGCAATGATATTCACTGACTGCATAAGTGTTGATCACATCTCAAATCATAGTAGTTTAGCCTTAGAGTTTTTCCATAAATTTGAAGGTTTTATTTCCTGCCTTAATTAGCTTTAATTGTTATTCTGGGAATTAATGTAGGATTCGAGAGGCACTGTACGAAATTTCTGATTATATTTGTTTCACAATGTGCCTGTGTTAATACATAGTATACAAGGTTTTATTGCTTTATTTTTCTAGACAAGCACTAAGTATGAATTTTTGTATCATGCTGTACAGATATTATTAAAGAACTTTTCAGGGTTTCCATACAAAAAAAGATTCATGCATCTTTGACTTTTTTTTCAACTTGTAGGGGATCCTACAGAGATGATGATCACGTGGGTCACTATGTCTTACACCAACTATACAATTGTGGAATACAATAAGGCTGGTTTTCCTCTTACGCTGCGGGCATCAGGCAGCATCACAAAATTTACTGATGGTGGTGCGGCGCATTGGGTGAGGTACATTCACAGGGTTAAACTTACTGGGCTGGTTCCTGGTCAAAGATATGGTAGGTGTTGTAAATAAACTATAATATTACCATCAAATATATTTTCAAGCCTTTCATTTTCAGCTGAAGGAAATGAAAGGATGCTGCCTGACATCATGGCTTTTCAGAGAATTTGAATAACAATAATAATAATAATAATGATAATATATAACTTTTAGAGATTTTTCGTACCCAAGTTTCTTGTATTTATCAGATTATTAGATATATATGTATATATATG